TGTTTACTAACGTCTCAGTGTGTCCGTGTTTGTTTGTTTACTAACATCGCAGTGTGTCCATGTTTGTTTGTTTACTAACGTCTCAGTGTGTCCATGTTTGTTTGTTTACTAACGTCTCAGTGTGTCCGTGTTTGTTGTTTACTAACGTCTCAGTGTGTCCGTGTTTGTTGTTTACTAACGTCTCAGTGTGTCCGTGTTTGTTTGTTTACTAACGTCTCAGTGTGTCCATGTTTGTTTGTTTACTAACGTCTCAGTGTGTCCGTGTTTGTTGTTTACTAACGTCTCAGTGTGTCCGTGTTTGTTTGTTTACTAACATCGCAGTGTGTCCATGTTTGTTTGTTTACTAACGTCTCAGTGTGTCCGTGTTTGTTGTTTACTAACGTCTCAGTGTGTCCATGTTTGTTTGTTTACTAACGTCTCAGTGTGTCCGTGTTTGTTGTTTACTAACGTCTCAGTGTGTCCGTGTTTGTTGTTTACTAACGTCTCAGTGTGTCCGTGTTTGTTGTTTACTAACGTCTCAGTGTGTCCGTGTTTGTTTGTTTACTAACGTCTGTGTGTTTGTTTGTTTATCAGAAACGTCGCAGCACCGCTAAAGTCCGCACTAGTCCCGGAGCTAAAGTCCGAGTGACGGCAAAAGGGAAGGCGGCGAGCTCGAGAGCTGTCACGCAGACGGTCGGGGTGGCCAAGAGGGCGATGGCGTACCGTGCAAAGGTAACACTCTTTGTAGTTCTCTGATGTAAAGTCGATGTCGGGGGTTTCACGATGGTCAAGTCGTGTGTTTGTCCTCCAGCAGGACATGTCGGACTCAGACGAGGAGAAGAGCGACTCGTCAGACTCTGATGAAGACGATGAGACGTCAGGATCCACAGACAGTGAAGACGATGATGAAGATGATGAGGTGAAGGTTCACTTCCTTTTAAACATCCTTTAAGAATAAAGCATTTAAACTTCAATGTGTTTTTTGTGTCCTCAGAACGAGGACGACGAGGACGACGAAGATCAGTCTTCCTCTGAAGAATCCAGCGACTCGGACTCTGACTAGCCCCGCCCCTTCACCTCATTGGAGAGGAAAGGCTGTGCAGGCCACGCCTCCTCATGTGCCAATCACCGTGGCAGACCAATAAGTGATGTCAGATGGAGCTCACACTTACCCCTCCCACCTTCCATCTAAAAGGGGTGGAGCCTGGCCGAGCGTTTTGTTACTCGTGTTTCTGTTTTTATCGAGTGTTTGTTGGTTTTTATCTGACTGACATTTCAGACGGGTGGAGACTTGTTTTATTTTTGTGGAGTGATGAAGGGGCGGGGTTGTACAGTTTGAAAGGCAGGGGGAGGGGCGGAGCCTATTGGTAGTGTTATTTACTGTTAAGGGAGGAGCCAGTGTTCAGCCTCCAATCAGCCGCCTGCCGGAGAAAATTATAAACAAATAAAAGCACTTTTTTTCTCATTTCTGTGGTCTGATTTCCTGCAGTGCTCAAACACACCATGACATCACACAGTCCCCCAACACCCTGGAGAAAGTAAACAAACGTTTAGAATTATTTCAGCTTTTATTTGATTTAATAGATTTTTAGAATATAAACAAACTTTTTTTTTCTTTCCACCTGATACACAAATAAATAATCTGACCTTTGACCCCACATTAATAACCCTCCTCCCCATCAGCCCCTGCTCTTGACTCAAAATCCCCCATGTCTCACTATCAGCTCGGTTTATAAAACAGTGACGCCAGAAGAAAAAAAAAAACAGTTCCACACATGCATCGTTGTTACCATGGTTACCAAACTTTATAAAAAGAGACTCCAACCCGCCCCAAAAGAAGAATTAATGTTTGCTCATCCACACAGCGACCAATCAGCCTGCGTTGAGCAAAAACAATGTTCAAGGACTACAACTCACTCGTGATGCGTTCAACGAACATTTCCAGAGTGAGGACGTTTGAGTGCTTCAGAGTCTGATCACAGCTTGAATTCTCCTCCAGGATCAAACATGTGACTGAAACCCAGACTTCAGATGGTCGGGTCCTGATGGATTTTGTACTCTGTCAGTTAAAGTTCATCGTTATAGAAATTCAGATTTCAGCATCTGATTAAGAAGACAGCAGCCTGACACTCCACCTGACACTCCACCTGACACTCCACCTGATCACTCCACCTGACACTCCACCTGACACTCCACCTGATCACTCCACCTGACACTCCACCTGACACTCCACCTGACACTCCACCTGATCACTCCACCTGACACTCCACCTGATCACTCCACCTGACACTCCACCTGACACTCCACCTGACACTCCACCTGATCACTCCACCTGACACTCCACCTGACACTCCACCTGATCACTCCACCTGATCACTCCACCTGATCACTCCACCTGACACTCCACCTGATCACTCCACCTGACACTCCACCTGATCACTCCACCTGATCACTCCACCTGATCACTCCACCTGATCACTCCACCTGATCACTCCACCTGACACTCCACCTGATAACTCCCCCTGTTTTAGACTTTGAGTCAGCTGTCAATCATCTCTCACTAACTTTTGCTTTAAATGAAGTCAAATCATTTAGTGATAATTGCAAGTGTAACCTGAACACACGTGTCTCTCTCTGCCCTCATGGACGACTGACAGGATGTTCAGCCCAATAAACAAGATTCAAACACACACACACACACACACACACACACAGCGTCATAGAGGGACGTCCAGAAGCTTCTTGTGCAGGTACTGCTTCACGTCCTCGATGCCGTTCAGTTTCTCCAGCTCGTGGTATGGCAGCTGAGAGGGGACAATAAGCAAGAAGACACAGGTCACCTTAAGACACAGAGACACACTGAGACACACTGTGACACACACTGTGACACACACTGTGACACACCGAGAGTAATGGGTAATGTAAAGGTGGGCGGAGTCAGGTGGGTCGTGGGCAGAGTCAGAGTAATGTAAAGGTGGGTGTGGTCACAGTAATATAAAGGTGGGCGTGGTCAGAGTTATATACACGTGTTGGCGCGGTGTGGGCGGGGTCTGACCTGCAGGATGATGTATCCCAGCAGCCTCAGGTGGCGGTCCCTCATGGCCCTGGAGCCCACCAGGACCTCGGAGTTGTGGCAGTAGTGCCACTTGTCGTTGACGGACATGATGACCCTGCAGAAACACACAGTGAGTCCTGGTTCTATTTGATCTGGATTACTGGTACCGAGCCTAACTCACCTCCTGATGGCCCTCTGTTCTGTGGGGGGGTCATCTGACTCGGTCCTCTCAGGGGGTTGGAGCTGTGGGGGTGAGGGGGGCTCTCTGTCAGCCCCAGGCCCCTCGGGGTATGTTGCTCCCTCGTAGAATCCAGGCAGCTCGCAGTCTATCCCCTTGCCCCCCTGGGTCCCTGCCCCCCCCTTGTCCTCGAGGATCTTCCCAATTGAAAACTGGAAGAGTGAGTCCGGTGCTGGTGCCCCTGCAGGTCCAGGAGCCCCTGGCTGTGCCAGGCTGTCGGAAGGGGGGCTGCTGAGTGTGGAGCTGTCCTGGCTCTCCAGAGAGTGCTCCTTGGGCAGACCCGAGTAGAACTCTGCAGGGGGGCCGTAGTAGGGGCCGTAATCCAGGGAGCCCCCATTACTACCTAACCGCTGGGGCCCAGGGGCTGCTGTGGCCCCTGTGGTGCTGCGGATGTGGTGGGGCAGGAAGGATCTGGACTCTATGTTCACGCCCATTGCCTCGCCCCCCTGACCTGGCTGCTCTGCCCCCTCCACCAGAGCAGCAAACGGAGAGAATTTCTGGAACTCTGAGGTCATTATGGCAACAGACCCATCTGCAGGCTTAGCTGCCACAGCAACGCAGGACGGCGGGACAACGGTCAGAGATAAACCTGCTCCAGTCCTGATGGGCAGAACCCGACCAGAACTGTCGATCCACAACACAAAATCTGCAGACAAGGTAACCAACAACTAGTCAACTAACAAGTCAACCAAACAACCAACCAGGCAACAAATCAACAAATCAGTCAACCAACCAAACAGTCAATCGAACAACCAGACAGACAACCAACCAACCAGGCAACAAATCAGTCAACCAAACAGTCAACCGAACAACCAGACAGACAACCAACCAATCAACCAACCAGGCAACAAATCAGTCAACCAAACAGTCAATCGAACAACCAGACAGACAATCAACCAACCAACCAACCAGTCAATCGAACAACCAGACAGACAACCAACCAACCAACCAACCAGGCAACAAATCAGTCAACCAAACAGTCAACCGAACAACCAGACAGACAACCAACCAATCAGCCAACCAACCAGTCAATCGAACAACCAGACAGACAACCAATCAATCAACCAACCAAACGGTCAATCGAACAACCAACCAACCAACCAGGCAACAAATCAGTCAACCAAACAGTCAATCGAACAACCAGACAGACAACCAACCAAACAGTCAATCGAACAACCAACCAACAAACCAATCAACCAACCAGGCAACAAATCAACAAATCAGTCAACCAAACAACCAGGCAATCAACCAACCAAACAGTCAATCAAACAACCAGACAGACAACCAACCAAACAGTCAATCAAACAACCAGACAGACAACCAACCAAACAGTCAATCAAACAACCAGACAGACAACCAACCAGTCAATAAATCAACAAATCAGTCAACAAACAATCAATCAACCAAACCAATTTTGTAGTATCAGTGAGTAGTATCAGTGTGTAGTACCTGTGTAGTACCCAGGGGGAAGTACTTCGTCCTGTTTGTAGTTGTGTTCTCCCACCAGCTGTCTCAGAGCCTCGGCCACCAGACCTTTATAACTGAAAGAGAAAAAGACATCAGAACCAGATCAAACCATCAGGACCAGCTCAAACCATCAGGACCAGCTCAAACCATTAGAATCAGATCAAACTATCAGGACCAGCTCAAACCATCAGGACCAGCTCAAACCATCAGGACCAGCTCAAACCATTAGAATCAGATCAAACTATCAGGACCAGCTCAAACTATCAGGACCAGCTCAAACCATCAGGACCAGCTCAAACCATCAGGACCAGCTCAAACCATCAGGACCAGCTCAAACCATTAGAATCAGATCAAACTATCAGGACCAGCTCAAACCATCAGGACCAGCTCAAACCATCAGGACCAGCTCAAACCATTAGAATCAGATCAAACTATCAGGACCAGCTCAAACCATCAGGACCAGCTCAAACCATCAGGACCAGCTCAAACCATCAGGACCAGCTCAAACCATTAGAATCAGATCAAACTATCAGGACCAGCTCAAACCATTAGAATCAGATCAAACTATCAGGACCAGCTCAAACCATTAGAATCAGATCAAACTATCAGGACCAGCTCAAACCATCAGGACCAGCTTAAACCATCAGGACCAGCTCAAACCATTAGAATCAGCTCAAACCATCAGGACCAGCTCAAACCATCAGGACCAGCTTAAACCATCAGGACCAGCTCAAACCATTAGAATCAGCTCAAACCATCAGGACCAGCTCAAACCATCAGGACCAGCTCAAACCATTAGAATCAGATCAAACCATCAGGACCAGCTCAAACCATCAGGACCAGCTCAAACCACCAGGACCAGCTTAAACCATCAGGACCAGCTCAAACCATTAGAATCAGATCAAATCATCAGGACCAGCTCAAACCATCAGGACCAGCTTAAACCATTAGAATCAGATCAAACCACCAGGACCAGCTCAAACCACCAGGACCAGCTCAAACCATCAGGACCAGCTTAAACCATTAGAATCAGATCAAACCACCAGGACCATCTCAAACCATCAGGACCAGCTCAAACCATTAGAATCAGCTCAAACCATCAGGACCAGCTTAAACCATTAGAATCAGATTAAACCACCAGGACCAGCTTAAACCATTAGAATCAGATCAAACCACCAGGACCAGCTCAAACCATTAGAATCAGATCAAACCACCAGGACCAGCTCAAACCATCAGGACCAGCTTAAACCATTAGAATCAGATCAAACCACCACGACCAGCTCAAACCATCAGGACCAGCTCAAACCATTAGAATCAGATCAAACCACCACGACCAGCTCAAACCATCAGGACCAGCTCAAACCATTAGAATCAGATCAAACCACCAGGACCAGCTCAAACCATCAGGACCAGCTCAAACCATTAGAATCAGATCAAACCACCAGGACCAGCTCAAACCATCAGGACCAGCTTAAACCATTAGAATCAGATCAAACCACCAGGACCAGCTCAAACCACCACGACCAGCTCAAACCATCAGGACCAGCTCAAACCATTAGAATCAGATCAAACCACCAGGACCAGCTCAAACCATCAGGACCAGCTCAAACCATTAGAATCAGATCAAACCACCAGGACCAGCTCAAACCATCAGGACCAGCTCAAACCATTAGAATCAGATCAAACCATCAGGACCAGCTCAAACCATCAGGACCAGCTCAAACCATTAGAATCAGATCAAACCATCAGGACCAGCTCAAACCATCAGGACCAGCTCAAACCATCAGGACCAGCTTAAACCACCAGGACCAGCTCAAACCAGTCTGAACCTGTTCATATTTACCTGTACTTGCGGTTGACCTCGTCAGCAGTCAGGGCGTGGTCAAACATCAGGACCTTGTGTGAGTCCTGCAGTCGGGGTCCACTGTAGTCCCTGAACTCCAGCTCCACAGCAGCATCCAGCAGAGACAGGTATCGCCTCACGATCAGAGCGTACGGACTGTCTGTGAGGGGGCGGGGCCAAGACAAAACAACACACCTGGTACTGTTAGTGATGTATATCCAGTCACTGAACAACTTCTGACATGTGGGGCAACGTCTACAGCCAACTGGGAGTGTTGTCTTACTGGTTGGGTTGCCTCCATTGTTGCCTGCTTTTTTTTTGTGAGTTGCTGGTTGTTTTAACGTGTGAGTTGCTGGATGTTTTAACATGTGAGTTGCTGGTTGTTTTAACGTGAGTTGCTGGTTGTTTTAACATGTGTGTTGCTGGTTGTTTTAACGTGTGTGTTGCTGGTTGTTTTAACGTGTGAGTTGCTGGTTGTTTTAACATGTGAGTTGCTGGTTGTTTTAACATGCGTGTTGCTGGTTGTTTTAACGTGTGAGTTGCTGGTTGTTTTAACATGTGAGTTGCTGGTTGTTTTAACATGTGTGTTGCTGGTTGTTTTAACATGTGTTTTCCTGGTTGTTTTAACATGCGTGTTGCTGGTTGTTTTAACGTGTGAGTTGCTGGTTGTTTTAACATGTGTGTTGCTGGTTGTTTTAACATGTGTGTTGCTGGTTGTTTTAACATGTGTGTTGCTGGTTGTTTTAACATGTGTTTTCCTGGTTGTTTTAATATGTGTGTTGCTGGTTGTTTTAACATGTGTGTTGCTGGTTGTTTTAATGTGTGTTGCTGGTTGTTTTAATATGTGTTGCTGGTTGTTTTAACGTGCGAGTTGCAGGTTGTTTTAACGTACGAGTTGCCGGTTGTTTTAACGTGCGTGTTGCCGGTTGTTTTAACGTGTGTGTTGCTGGTTGTTTTAATGTGTGTTGCTGGTTGTTTTAATGTGTGTTGCTGGTTGTTTTAATGTGTGTGTTGCTGGTTGTTTTAACATGTGAGTTGCTGGTTGTTTTAACATGTGAGTTACTGGTTGTTTTAACGTGTGAGTTGCTGGTTGCTAGCTATGTTGCTGGTTGTTTTAACATGTGAGTTGCTGGTTGCTAGCTGTGTTGCTGGTTGTTTTAACGTGTGTGTTGCTGGTTGCTAGTTGTTTTAATGTGTGTTGCTGGTTGTTTTAACATGTGTGTTGCTGGTTGTTTTAACATGTGTGTTGCTGGTTGTTTTAACATGTGAGTTGCTGGTTGTTTTAACATGTGTGTTGCTGGTTGTTTTAACATGTGAGTTGCTGGTTGCTAGTTGTTTTAATGTGTGTTGCTGGTTGTTTTAACATGTGTGTTGCTGGTTGTTTTAACATGTGTGTTGCTGGTTGTTTTAACATGTGTGTTGCTGGTTGTTTTAACATGTGAGTTGCTGGTTGTTTTAACATGTGAGTTGCTGGTTGTTTTAACATGTGAGTTGCTGGTTGTTTTAACATATGTGTTGCTGGTTGTTTTAACATGCGTGTTGCTGTTGCTGGTTGCTAGCTGTGTTGCTGGTTGTTTTAACGTGTGTGTTGCTGATTGCTAGCTGTGTTGCCGGTTGTTATAACATGTGTGTTGCCGGTTGTTTTAACATGTGTGTTGCCGGTTGTTTTAATGTGTGTTGCTGGTTGTTTTAACATGTGTGTTGCCGGTTGTTTTAATGTGTGTTGCTGGTTGTTTTAACATGTGTGTTGCCGGTTGTTTTAATGTGTGTTGCTGGTTGTTTTAATATGTGTTGCTGGTTGTTTTAACGTGCGAGTTGCCGGTTGTTTTAACGTACGAGTTGCCGGTTGTTTTAACGTGCGTGTTGCCGGTTGTTTTAACGTGTGTGTTGCCGGTTGTTTTAATGTGTGTTGCTGGTTGTTTTAATGTGTGTTGCTGGTTGTTTTAATGTGTGTTGCTGGTTGTTTTAATGTGTGTGTTGCTGGTTGTTTTAACGTGTGAGTTGCTGGTTGTTTTAACATGCGTGTTTGCTGGTTGTTTTAACATGCGAGTTGCTGGTTGCTAGCTGAGTGTTGCTGGTTGTTTTAACATGCGTGTTTGCTGGTTGTTTTAACGTGTGTGTTGCTGGTTGTTTTAACATGAGAGTTGCTGGTTGTTTTAACGTGTGTGTTGCTGGTTGTTTTAACATGTGTTGCTGGTTGTTTTAACGTGTGAGTTGCTGGTTGTTTTAACGTGTGTGTTGCTGGTTGTTTTAACGTGTGTTGCTGGTTGTTTTAACATGTGTTGCTGGTTGTTTTAAAGTGTGTTGCTGGTTGTTTAAACATGTGTTGCTGGTTGTTTTAATGTGTGTTGCTGGTTGTTTTAATATGTGTTGCTGGTTGTTTAAACATGTGTTGCTGGTTGTTTTAACATGTGTTGCTGGTTGTTTTAACATGCGTGTTGCTGGTTGTTTTAACATGCGTGTTGCTGGTTGTTTTAACATGCGTGTTGCTGGCTGTTTTAATGCGTGTTGCTGGTTGTTTTAACATGTGTGTTGCTGGTTGTTTTAACATGCGTGTTGCTGGTTGTTTTAACATGCGTGTTGCTGGTTGTTTTAACATGCGTGTTGCTGGTTGTTTTAACATGCGTGTTGCTGGTTGTTTTAACATGCGTGTTGCTGGCTGTTTTAACATGCGTGTTGCTGGTTGTTTTAACATGCGTGTTGCTGGTTGTTTTAACATGCGTGTTGCTGGTTGTTTTAACATGCGTGTTGCTGGTTGTTTTAACATGCGTGTTGCTGGCTGTTTTAATGCGTGTTGCTGGTTGTTTAAACGTGTGAGTTGCCGGTTGTTTTAACGTGTGAGTTGCTGGTTGCTAGCTATGTTGCTGGTTGTTTTAACATGTGAGTTGCTGGTTGCTAGCTGTGTTGCTGGTTGTTTTAACGTGTGTGTTGCTGGTTGCTGGTTGTTTTAATGTGTGTTGCTGGTTGTTTTAACATATGTGTTGCTGGTTGTTTTAACATATGTGTTGCTGGTTGTTTTAACATGTGTGTTGCTGGTTGCTAGTTGTTTTAATGTGTGTTGCTGGTTGTTTTAACATGTATGTTGCTGGTTGTTTTAACATGTGTGTTGCTGGTTGTTTTAACATGTGTGTTGCTGGTTGTTTTAACATATGTGTTGCTGGTTGTTTTAACATGCGAGTTGCTGGTTGTTTTAACATGTGTGTTGCTAGTTGTTTTAACATGTGTGTTGCTGGTTGTTTTAACATGCGAGTTGCTGGTTGCTAGCTGTGTTGCTGGTTGTTTTAATGTGAGTTGCTGGTTGTTTTAATGTGAGTTGCTGGTTGTTTTAATGTGTGTTGCTGGTTGTTTTAACGTGAGTTGCTGGTTGTTTTAACATGTGTGTTGCTGGTTGCTAGCTGTGTTGCTGGTTGTTTTAATGTGTGTTGCTGGTTGTTTTAATGTGTGTTGCTGGTTGTTTTAACGTGAGTTGCTGGTTGTTTTAATGTGTGTTGCTGGTTGTTTTAATGTGAGTTGCTGGTTGTTTTAATGTGTGTTGCTGGTTGTTTTAACGTGTGTTGCTGGTTGTTTTAACGTGAGTTGCTGGTTGTTTTAACGTGAGTTGCTGGTTGTTTTAATGCGTGTTGCTGGTTGTTTTAACGTGAGTTGCTGGTTGTTTTAACGTGTGTTGCTGGTTGTTTTAATGTGAGTTGCTGGTTGTTTTAATGTGTGTTGCTGGTTGTTTTAACATGTGTTGCTGGTTGTTTTAATGTGAGTTGCTGGTTGTTTTAATGTGTGTTGCTGGTTGTTTTAATGTGTGTTGCTGGTTGTTTTAACGTGTGTTGCTGGTTGTTTTAACATGCGAGTTGCTGGTTGCTAGCTGTGTTGCTGGTTGTTTTAATGTGAGTTGCTGGTTGTTTTAATGTGAGTTGCTGGTTGTTTTAATGTGTGTTGCTGGTTGTTTTAATGTGTGTTGCTGGTTGTTTTAACATGTGTTGCTGGTTGTTTTAATGTGAGTTGCTGGTTGTTTTAATGTGTGTTGCTGGTTGTTTTAATGTGTGTTGCTGGTTGTTTTAACGTGAGTTGCTGGTTGTTTTAACGTGTGTTGCTGGTTGTTTTAATGTGAGTTGCTGGTTGTTTTAATGTGTGTTGCTGGTTGTTTTAACATGTGTTGCTGGTTGTTTTAATGTGAGTTGCTGGTTGTTTTAATGTGTGTTGCTGGTTGTTTTAACGTGAGTTGCTGGTTGTTTTAATGTGTGTTGCTGGTTGTTTTAATGTGTGTTGCTGGTTGTTTTAATGTGAGTTGCTGGTTGTTTTAATGTGTGTTGCTGGTTGTTTTAACGTGAGTTGCTGGTTGTTTTAATGCGTGTTGCTGGTTGTTTTAACGTGAGTTGCTGGTTGTTTTAACGTGTGTTGCTGGTTGTTTTAATGTGAGTTGCTGGTTGTTTTAATGTGTGTTGCTGGTTGTTTTAACATGTGTTGCTGGTTGTTTTAATGTGAGTTGCTGGTTGTTTTAATGTGTGTTGCTGGTTGTTTTAATGTGTGTTGCTGGTTGTTTTAACGTGTGTTGCTGGTTGTTTTAACATGCGAGTTGCTGGTTGCTAGCTGTGTTGCTGGTTGTTTTAATGTGAGTTGCTGGTTGTTTTAATGTGTGTTGCTGGTT